CCTCTCTGCCATGCAACCCTTCCATGTCAGAGCCAGTTGATTATGGACTGAAAGCTCTAAAGACTCTGCGCTAAATAAAACTTTCCCTCTTTAACTCTGGGTGTTAGGAATTTTGTCTCAGCAACAAGAGAAAATTAACTAAGATAACAGGGAATTATTGATCATACAATTTTTTATGTGCCATAATATTTTCATATATGTGGAAAATGTAGAGAAAAATGAAGGAAATATAAAAGCTGCAAAAGTTTCAATTGAATCTGTGTGATTTTAATATAGTTTCTTTCTGTACTTAGAACACAAGCAAAGGTCTGAGGCAACTTCCAGTTTGGTTTACTGAGATTGGAATTTGCATAGAATGGTGAGGGAAAGGATCAGAATTTTAGAGAGTTGTTCAAATGATGAAATATGGTGATTAAGCTGGATATGAAAGATAGGAAAAGGAAGATTACAACAAATATATTTATTGACTAGTTACATCTGGTTCTTTTCTCAGTACCTTGTATGTATTTTATCATTAATGTCATAAACCATTTTTGGTTATAAGTGAAAAAAAAAAAAACTTTGTCTTTCTTCAGATGAGAAAATCAAGCAATAGGGAACTTAAATAACATGTCCAACATCATGTAACCATCCATTTAATGATAAATTCCTTCACAAAATTGTTAAAAATGATTTTATACCAAAACAATCTTCCCCAAATGTAGAAAATGATGATGCAAATGACTCTTGTTTTTATGAGATTTTAACTAGATTAATGTAAAGATTGACCCTATTTTTCTTAAATTATACCAAGATCTAAATAGCACAGCTGGGAACTCATCATGAGTGGATATTGTTAAAATTCCAACTTACTGACGGAGGGGAACCATCTGTGGCTTCGGCTATATGCCTAACTGAAATAATAGCTTATCCTGTTTGCCTAAAGCAGAAAAAAAAAAAAAAAATGTCTGAAGTTGGAGCATCATGGATGTTTAACACCTGAGTTCTTGTTCAGCAAGATTAAAGGATTTAGTCACATGTGCCCAGGAGGTGTCACTGGTGAGAGAGAATCCAGAGCCTGCCACAGGACCCCCTGTGCTCTAGATGCCTCTTTGGTGCCCCAGGGCCTGTGCCTTGAGCTAACAACTAGGAGAGCTCCTGGGTTCCACCCACAGCACACAGAGACCCATTCACATGCGAAAGACAAACTGAGCTGTAAGGTCACAGTCAAGATAAAGTGTTTCTTCAGTAATAAAGTAGAGACCTTCCTACTAGGATGTTTCCTTTCATCAGCAAACCATACCGCCCACCTGGCTATGGCATTGCTCTGACTACAGTCTAAGTTATTCTCCTTTCTTTCACTTATTAATTTATGGGCAGGAGCGTCTTTAGACTGCAGCATGAAAACAAATGAATATGCAATGTAAGTTTCTCACATTTGTTTTTAGCAAAATTTGCTACTGTGAAATAACTGTGTTGTGTGGCCTAAATCATCTTGGAAATTAACCACAGAAGTTGGATTGAGGAATAACACTGAGTATGACAGGTTTTTTAAATTTATTTTATATCAAGAAATAATTTTCTAAGAGAATATAAAAATGATAAATTAGAGGTACAGTTGTGATATAAACTTTTCAATACATCAGACAAAGAGATCTGTACCAGATTTTCCAGACCATGAAGGTGAGAAGTAATGTCTTAAAATTCTGACAAGTGATACTAAATTTTACAGAATAGCTGTGTATTGCATTTTTAATTTAGGAGAAGTAGCCAGGAAGAGAATTATCTTATATTATAGTTTCAACACTCTGGGATGGGGAAGGCAAGAAGACCCTAAGTTTGAGCCCAGCTTAGGAAAGTTAGTAATTAGCAAGAACATAGCTCAAATAAATACAAATTAAAAACAAAAGGGATGCGAATGTGGCCCAGTGTGAAGGCCCTGGGTTCAAGTCTGGCTATAGCTAAGAGTGTATAAAAGAAAAGAAAGGAATGAAGAGAACAGTGGTCCTAGGTGAAGATTACTAGCTATCATCTTGTTAACCTGCATAATCTTCTGATAGCAAATTTTCAGATATTCCCTTTTTCCTTTGAAACTGAGCATCTAAAAATGAATAGTGCATTTTTCCTTGCTTAGTATACTCTAAAGATTGCAGGAAGAGGACAGAGAGCCTAACATTGTGTTTGGTGGTAGTCTAAATATGATAGATGTCATGAAAACCAATAGGAAAGTAGATCTTTTATAAATGGAACAGAGACCAAGAGCTGGAGGAAAGCGGGAGGAGGAGATGGACACAGGTGGTCAGAAGAATTAAGATGTGTTAGAAATGAACCAACTTCCCGTGATGAATGCCGTCATTATGTACTGCGGACGTGTGTAAAGAAATATATAAAAGACAAACCTCATTTAAAGATATTTCCTACCGTTGATGAATGTGTGAGGAAAACAATACTTAGATAAGCAGTGTAGCATGACATCTAAAGAGCAACACGGCCAACATTAAATCCAGAGCTGGATTTAAAGCTGTATTGTACAATATCATCATTTATAGTGGAGAGGAATAGATCATCTTAAGACCCTGTCACGAAATATGGGCTAGATCAGTAGTTTTCAAAGTGTGGTCCCGAGATCAGGCCTACCAGGACTTTCTAGAACTTGATAACCATATTCTAGGAATCTAACCAGGAGCTCTTGAGTCAGAAGTTGTGGGTTGGGTCCCATGGTCTGTAGTTTAACGGCTCTCCAAGAGATTTGATAAAACTGGAGTTTGATAGTTAATGATGTAGAGTCCAAAAATGGGTTACATTTTGTTCATCTAATTCTGTATTATTCTGGTTGTCTTTCCTAACAAGAAATGGGAAAAATGACAATAAACCCTCAAATCACTGTAGAATATCAGTGTTTACAAATGTTGCTAACTGATAGGACTGTGTGTGTGTGTGTGTGTGTGTGTGTGTGTGTGTGTGTGTGTGTATGTGTTGTGCTCATATAAGCAGGCACATGTTCTGATACTGGAGACTGGACATAAGGCTTCCTGCAGGATAGGTGAGCACTAAGTTACACTAAGTTACAGCCTCAGTCTGTTTCGTCACTCCCCCCTGCATCCCCCTGCCCCCCCCCCAAAAAAAAGTCCTAATTACAAGACAATAAGAAGTTAGGTCAGTGGATAGAGATGTAAAAGAGGTTTTCCTTCTTGGACCAAGTGGCCATGCAATCTCACAGTGCTTCTCCTCTTTGACAACTGCCCTCCTCCCTTGAGTTGATGCATAGAAAATCCACACTGCAGATTTGCTCAGTAAGTCACAGGGGGTGGTACTACTTGAAGGGGGGAAGATAAGTGGCCTAATGACTTATATCAAATGGCTATGTCTGAAGCCCCTGGAGATTTGTTAGAACTGAGAGTGCTGCTGGGCCTTCCTTCTCCAGCTTCTGATTCAGCTGATAGCAGCCAGGGCCTGGAATTTGCACATCATGGTTCCCACGTGGAGAAGGTGACCAGAGCTTTGAGGGCCTCCATTTGAGAACCAACTGTGGGGGGGCGGGGGTGAGAACCAACTGTGTGTGTGTGTGGGCGTGAGAACCGACTGTGGTAGTACTTCACTGTAGTATTTAGGAGTTAACGTATCCCTTTTCTCGATTTTTCAGTCATATTAAAGCTGCTCTTCTCGCGTTAAGCAGACCTAACGTATCTTTTTGTTTTGTCTGATTTGATAAACTTTACTGTAGAAGCAGTAGGTCAACAGGAACTTCCTTCCCTCCAGTTTGGTTAATTTACAGGAAATCATTATATTTTTTCCTTTTCGTAGAAAAAAATTCAGACAGATGAAACATTTGAGTTTAGCGGTGTTTCACCATGCTAATAAAACTCAAGAATTCATGGAAGTGAGGGGATGAGGGTTTATGTGGGTGATATGACTGAAGACTTCCCTGATGGCTGATTATGTTAGCGGAGTCTTATAGGTTCTTCTGTGTTTCATTTTCTACAGTTTTTGGAAATGCACTAGAACATGAAACACTAAAAATAGTGTGAGAAAATGCTTTATATTCAATGAATATATTTTGAAACATCTGTCTTTGTACCCGTTTCAGCTCACGTATTTTAAACTTTTTTACAAAAATCCTGTTGTTTAACCTACCCTCTTTTTCTCATCTATGATGAATATTCCCTTTGATGTAAAACAAATGTTTCATAATTACTTGAAGAGGATTTATTTCCTGGTCACACAAAAGCAAAACCATTGGTTTTAATGGTTTAGGTTTGAAAAAAATCTGTCAATAATGTGCATTTAAATTTACAATCAGCAGGGGCTGAGGATTTAGCACAGCGGCATAAGCACCTGCATGGCAAGCACAAGGTCATGAATTCAATCCCTGGTACCAAGAAAAAGAAAAAAAATATGTTAGAAAACGTTTATAATCAGCTACTATTTATTGCTTTAGTAGGTAGTAGATCAGCTATATATGTATATACTGGCAATTGATTCATTTGTGAAAATTGTTTAATATACTAAATAATGGATATATAATATGCTTAAATAATTATTTAAATTATGTAACTGAAAACTATTAAAAATTATTGGCAGGTGGTACCTAAAATACATATTATAGATGTTTATTTTAAAAAGGTAGATACTGAATTAATGAGTCAAACTATTTTAAGGAGTAACCTATGTGTAGCTAGCTCCATTCATTCAGAATGATAATAATTTTATTTTGATTTCAAAATTCAACTTTGGGAAGGCAAGGTATTTAATAGCATGATTTGAAAATGAAAATGAAAATCAAACAGGAAAAGGACTGATACAGAAGGATTATTCAGTATCACAGTTAATAATAAATATATATGTTTATATAGTCACTATATGGATTTCTGAAAAGGTTGTTTTTAATGAAGAATAAATCCAATAATCCAGAGATAATTTTATTTGTGTGTAGCATGCTTTAATATGTAAATTACATACCATTATTGTACCAAGTAGACATGAAAATGCATTTTCTGTTTCTTTTTTCAAATCATTAATAGGGAGAAGCAGGATCCCCAGGCATGCCCGGGCAGGATGGACCTCAGGGAGAGCCTGTGAGTACTTTCTCCATTCATCATAAAGCACGATGTTTTTGGCGTGTCATGAAATCCTATGACTATCTAAATTCTCCTCCTCTTTGCTATTCTTGTTCAATGACTTTCAGATTTTGGAGGTTGTAGAGATTTGTGTGGAGCATTGTAATACATTGTAATACAGATGGGGAAGTGGGTTAGGTGCAGTGTGACTCCAGCCACACCCCTCCTGTCTAAATTAGCAGCTAGCACACACATCTCAGTCCCCTGCAGAGCCTTTGACCTGTGTCACTTTGCCACTGGTGCATTATTTTGTAATGTGTTCTCTGAGCTCATGACTTTAGTAAAAATCGGAGTATAGAGATATAACATTAAGAAAGTACTAGATAAGAATACTAGATGTCTGTACTTTTAGCAAGTAGGTCAGATGATTCTTCAGATGAATTTTGGAAATGTAGACGTGCTTCTTTTATTTCTACAACTCATAACCAACATTGATTTACTTATTTTAATTTTTGTTAGTACATTTTTCAGTGCATATTTATATAGTAGATCTCATTTCATTCATCAAATATGTCTCTTCTCAGAGAACTTGCAATTTGTATGGGCAGGAGGAAGTAGGTCAACAAATGAAATAATAAGTTTATTAGCATTCATCATGAAGTGTACAGTTGGCAGCCCAGAATTCACATGCTAGACGTGTGACAGAGCTTACCAAGGCTTCTTATTCAGGGTGGAAGGATTGAACTCTTAGCATTCTTCAAATTTACCTGAAATTTCAATGTGTGTATTATGATGCACTAGAGTAAATTCTATATAAAGCTTCTGCCCTTGATAATATAATTTGGGAGGCTGAAGTAAAAGGATGTAAATGACTCCCAGCATAAGAATGTTTATAGTAAGGGCCACATCGGAATTAGTCCTGGATTTGGAAGACCAAGGTAAAGACAGTCTCTGGCTCTGCTATGTGCTGGCCATGTTTATGGGACAGATCACTTTATGTCTCTGAATACCTCTGACTTCTTAATAGGGTAGATGTTTATAAAGCTTTTTAGTAGTGCTGTTGTGCTTTTTAGTAGTGCTTCCGTAGGAAACTTGAAAATATTGTCAAAATAGTACACAATTGCATGGAATTATTCTAAGTACTAAGGAATATAGGAAGGCAGTCCTGCATCTTGAATGGCTGAGAAATTTTTACCAAGGACTGGGAACTAGAATTGAAATGAAAAGATGGGGGACTGGGCACTAGCCTGGGTGAAAGCACACAGATGAGGTGGTTGAAAGTGTGCCCACAAGGCAAGGAAATAATCCAAACGAAGTGCTGAGGATGCAGTGAAAGGACCTGTTGCAGGATAGGAACTGTGGAGGAAGGCAGAGAGGACTGTAACGTGGAGATCTTTATCTATCAGTTAGAAGGTAAACCGTTAATTCACTTCCCTTTGAAATTTTTGGAAGGATAAAAAGAATAAATGATAAAAAAAAATGTTTCAGAAGCAGTTTCTGAGTTATTGGTTGTAAGTAGAATGTATGGAAAGGGGAAGACACTGTAATAATCCCCGAGTTTGTGACAGACAAGGTGTGGGCGTGAGACCTCCAATATGGTCGAGCTAGCAATGCAGAATGTTCTCGGGGAGCAGGTGGGTTCAGTGCATCTTGGCACTGATTTTTCTTATGGTGGAAGAACTTCAGGGCCTTGGGACTAGATATGAAAGTGGGTGTAATTAGTCATCTGTGTTGTAGTTTCAGGAACAATGTGAAGAGGAAGAGAGAAATAAATGCAACAAATGGCAGTGGCAGGAAGGGAGATAAAAAGAGGGAGAGGAGGGGGAGGCAAAAGGGAAGAAAAATTAAGAGGGAACGATGACACCACAGAGATCAGAACTGGGTCCTGCAGCCGGTGAAGGAGCTCAGTGATGCGATGTCTGCCTGACAAGTAAGAGACCCTGAGTTCAATTGCAAGTAACCTCCCCAGAAAGAGCTGGGTCCTTATTATGAGAGGACTACATTAGAAATGTTTGTGAATTATTTAGAATTTTCCCATAGAAATAATGTCACAAAGGGAAGATTGGCTAATACATCTCTGTAAACAGTCATATGTTAGTATAAGGAAATGTGTTTACTTTGGATTTAGTACTTTTCAGTTCTGCTAATAAAAATATCAAGAACATTAAATAGGAAATGAGGCACTCTGGGGAATTTTCTTCCTGGGGCTGCCCTCCTCTCTTCTGGGCAGAATCCTTGCTCTTGCCCTGCATTATCCAATCTTACTCTTTTCTCAAGATGTGTTCTTGTCTAAAGTTTTTGTGCTACAATAAATTTCCATGGAAGACACCACAGGTCTTCAGACTTCAATCTTTACCTTCTTTCCCTTCCAGCATTTATTGTGTTTCTATCGTGTGTGGTTCAGTAGTGAGAGAAACACAGGGATGGCCTCATGGAAGCTCGGGGCTTAGTAGATGGTAAAGGAGTGAACAAAACAGAAGCCCAGTTATGATGATCTCAGAGACAGGTAAATGAGGAGTTGAGACAGATGGTGATGAAACTAGGGACTGGAGCTTATTTAGGTGCAACCCAAATGCAATGTAGATACAAAATGGGGAGTCACTGATTGAGACTCCCGTACCTGCCCCACAGATCCACTGAGGAAGGAGGAGGGAGATGCTTTATGCCAGAGGTCTCTTCTCTGCGCCATGGACTAGTATAGGTTTCTAGCCTCTCAGGAGCCTCGCCACACAGCAGGGGGTGGGCGGTGGGTGAGTGCGGGAGGCTTCCTCTGTGCTCATAGGCACTGCCCCTTTGTTGTTCGCTATTTGAATCTACCTCCTGTCTAATGAGTGTGGAATTAGATTCTCACAAGAACAAGAACCATACTATGAACAGTAAGTCAGACTTGTAAGGAATATTATGCTGTGAGATTGACCTTTGCCATTTGTGAAAAGTTTAAAACAGAAAAAAATAATCCCTAACATTTGTTTGCTTTGTAATACGGAGATTGTTCCATTCTATGTGAATAATGATTTCAAGTATTTATAGTAAATGATTTGTCCCCACTAAAAATACATGTTTAGTGTACTTTTTCTGTAATGTGGTAGCCAAGAAAATTAATAGACTTTAAATCAGAAGAAGAGAAGCTCCTAGAAAAATGCTTTTAAGCCAATTAAACACAACTTATTGCAGCCTGGTGGTGATTCATCCCTGTTAGCAGATTGATACATATAAACACTGGCTCCTGGAATTCAAGTTGAAAACAAGGAGTCTTTCACTGGGAATGATTATATTACTTTATAGTATAAATATGCTTCCATGTCAGTATCTTCAATTTTAAAGGCTAACTAATCAATCCTAAAAATAATTCAGTACTATACGTAATTTACTTTCTAAATGGTAAATTATAACAAATTAACTTTAATTCAGTTAACTATAAACTTAATTTTAACACTTTGCTATATATACTATAGTTGATTTAACCAGCAATCACTGGGTTAGTGATTATAGTCTTTTCTTACACATTAAACATAGTTAAGAATATCTAGTTTTATCAGATTTTATCCTAGTTAACAGTGTGGTGATTAGTTATGGTTCTGGCATCCCAAGGTCACATGAGCCAGTAGAATACAATGCGGTATGAATGCTCTGGTAGTAGATACAGGAGCTTGAAGAGTGTAGATTTGTAGGTGAATTTGAAACATCACTAAAAATGATGTATACTTTTTTATTTAAATTTTTTCTATATTCTTTTATAAAGTATTTAAATACATTTAAATTATATAGTATACTATAGTATATCTAAATTTACTATTTTAAATTTTGTACTATGCATTCTTTAAAAGCACTCTTTTGACCAAATATTGGAAGACAAGCAGGATTTGGGTAGTTGTGACTCATCTAGGGAAGAGCATGGAGTGTTTTCCAAGACAGAAGTAAAGAAAGCCTGATACTCTTCATATAGCTGATGTTATTTCAGGCTGTCTGAAGAGCCCAGAAGGGAGGAAGAAAAACAATAAAGGCATGAGGGAAGGTGAAGATGTGTCTCCAGTAGAGATGTGCCTTATACATCTGTGCTACTGAGAGATTACCTGAGAGTAATATGAGCCAGCCAGAGTTTTATGTAAGTAAGTTAATCAGATCGAAGTTTTAGAAAGATCACTCTTAACAGCAGAGATGGCAAGGGTGGATCAGGGTGAAGAGCAGAGTCTGGCAGCTGTCTATTGACATCCAGGACCAGTAAGTGAAGAACTTTCAGGGTAGTTAGGGAGAGCAGGGGGCTGATTTACACTACATCCATGCTACTATAGCTAAGAATCAATTGAAAGTTTGTAAGATAAGAAGAAATGACTCTCAAAGTCTTAGAGCATGGACAGAAGTAAGAAAATGCTAAACTAAACACAAGAAGAGTCAGTGTTACCCAAGGCTCACAAGATGTTTTTCAACTAGAGCATGTCTAGATAATAGCACAAGTATTTAAGCAGGTAATCTACCTTTGAATAATCAGAAAATATTTTTAAATGAGGACTTATACAATTTTAATAATAAATAAAACTTCAGATTGAAGACTTTTAGGTGAATTTCTAGGAATAATGGTAAGAAGTTGAAAAGTGCCTTAATTCTTTAAACCTGCAATGTTATATTTGAATGAAGTTTTGTAGATATGATTATATGAAGACTCTTGTGGTGGGAGAATTATCTTGGATTATCTGATGTCTTCATATAGTCAACTCAGTGTTTAAGAAACAGAGCAGGAAGAAATTCTGTCCATAGACTGCCATGCCAACCCCTGCCTGAGACTTCCCAGCTCACCCTGTTGAGGGTCAGCAGTATGGGTTTTATGCTTCCCTATCAAGTTCCCATGATGCATAAATCAACTCTTTCCAGAAATCTGTACTGCATTTGAGAAGAAAACAGAACTTGTAGACAATGTATTTGTATATTTCACAGAGGAGATTTCTGAGCAAAGTGCTGATGTTGTGGGGTGATTTCTTGGTGTTTAGCAAACAGTAAACTGAAGAAAGGACTATTAAGCA